TAGGATGACAATGGAAGTGTAAACTCATTAATAACTATTGATGGATTAGGATCATACCTGCAATAGGATGTACACTTGCACGTGCATAAGAAAAATGAAAATGATGTGTGGCAAACTTAGCTTCAGCACATATAGCACACACATGTTTGCATCACGAGTGCTGTTAGAAATAAAATACAAATAAAAACGTAATCGAAACATCAAAAGTAATAGAGAAGAAATAGATATAAAACATAAACACAAATTAAAATATAAACACAAACATAAACACGTAAACACAAACGTAAAAACAAACACAAACATAAATACAAAACCAAACACAAACGCAAACACGAAGACAAACACAATAGTAGACTCCCTTTAGCGACTTCGCCCTTTTAGTGAGAAGGATAAGGAGTAGTATAAGAGTAATTCGATCTTCCATAGTCTTCTCCTTATTTCCGCTTGAAAGAGATAAGTACTAAGAAGACGGCTATTACTTATTCATACTTGACAAAATTATATAAAATTTTATTTTATTTATACAATTACTTTTTATTACCTTTATAGATAAATTATGTATAGGTTTTCAAAACTATTACTATGATTCAAATATTTTTTTTAAATATTATAAAAGATAACAAAATAACTTTTATATTTTAATTATCATTGTAATTTAAGTTGTATAAATATTATATACCTATAAACTTAACTAACTTTTCATTGAAAGGCAATAATGGCAAGATATAATAAGTAATAAAAGAATAATATATTGACATGACATATCATTTTCACTAAATAAACTCATTTAATTTTTATGTCTTATAAAATAATTTTATAATAACTTAATAAAAACAATTAAACGATAAATTTTAGTAAACTATTTTAAACATTTCATATGTTTTTTCTAATTGAAATTAATTTTTACTTAAAGTTAATTTTTATTGATGAGAAGATAAAAATGTAATTTTAATAAAAAAAGTTTTATAAAAATGCTTAAAAATTGACTATAATCAAATTTAATAAGATAATAAATCTATTGGAACCAATTTTGAATCTCCCTTACACTATGCCTATTTATTTTTATTTTAATTAATAAGGATGCGTAATAACGTTCAAACATAACTTTTTGGTCTTTAGACTCACTTTAGCGACTTCGTCCTTTTAGTGAGAAGGATAAGGAGTAGTATAAGAGTGATTCGATCTTTCATAGATCTCCCCTTATTTCTACTGAAAAGAGGTAAGTACTAAAAAGACGACTATTTCATGTTGAATATGCTTTCATCGATGATATAGAGGGAATAACAATATCATATGATTTTTATGCAATACAATAGTAGAGTCAGAAAAGATCCCTCATAGTAGTTTAGTATAGGACCAACCTAGGTCATTTGCTAAAGAGCTATCCAATATCCCCAACCTGTTAGAGTACCTAGGGCAATAGAAAAATTGAGGAATTAATATTTCCATTAACATTAAGGCTTGAAGATCTAGGCCCGTCCAATAGCATAAAAAAGGTAAACCTTTGGAGTGTTAATGGAAGTTATAGTTGCAAAGCCAGTTTAAGAAAGTTAATTTTCAAGATGGTAAGGGCATGGTACGTGTGACTGCAATCAAATGTTTCCCTACAGTTGCATTGACCCTTACCTTTTTCAGGCTTCCAAGTGAGCCAATTTTCAAGACATTATACAGCAGTGGTAAGGTACACCTATGTCATTTCTTTTTTTCTTTTTTTTTTTAAGATCTATGACTTAATATAAAATAGGATAAAAATGTCAAGTGATTCAACTCAAGCACGAACCGCTACCTCCTCTTCTCTGACTTCAACAAAAAGAAAGTCAAACAACTCATTATCTCATGTCAACAGCGCATTCGTTCACTCAAATAACGCATTTGTAAGCTCCAAATCCAAGAGTCTATCCGGTACCAAAAGTGAAGGGTGAATGTGAAATTCTCTTATTTATTTTAACGAGAGTCGAAAAGTAGTAAGCAAGTGACTATGGGGAAGTCAGGGTATAAGAATCACTTATTGGTATGGTACAGAAGAGAAAAGTCCCATCCGTTTTAGAAGTCGCAGAGAAATGGAAGGCTTAAATACCAAAAACAAGATGGTCAATAACTTCGATCTTGTTTTTGTCCTTTTTGGGTTCTAGTCCAATCTTCTGCTGCAACCTATGCCTTTTATCTCTTCTTCTGGGTCTCAATCTCGAACTCAAACTGATGCCTAGCTATTTTTCTAGATGTTGAGACGCGGGACATGACGGTCGTGAACTGCTGAAAGATCAGATGATCTATCTTCCTTTGACTTCCCCTTAATTAAAGAGTATAGTAAGGCCCCCAAAAGGGTCAATGACATGCAGCCGAGCAGGCACCGGTCAGAACTCAGCACCAAGCAGAGCATTCGCCGCCGACCGATTGCTTGAATCTATTCCCACATTCGCATGCTAGCTGGATTAGAGGTGGGTTTGTTAACATCTTTGTTAGTATTATGGTGCTTGATTTAGTCCCACATCGATTAGGATTGTGAGATGAGGTTCTCTATTTTGTTACATAGGGTTGCTTATATAACAAAATAGAGAACCTCATCTCACAATCCTAATCGATGTGGGACTAAATCAAGCACCATAATACTAACAATTCTCCCACTTGGAGTTTGATTTACGTTACCACCTAGTGTAGTGCCTTCATCATCAATTTGCTCGAAGGCCAGTTGAGGTAATGCAAAGCCTCAACTTAGTTGTTGTAACAGTCTTGGTCAACATATCAGCGGGATTCTCCGCACCTGGAATCTTCAACAAACTCAAGTCTCCATCATTTATCGGGTTTCGATAAAATGATACTTCAATTCAATGTGCTTACATCCGGAATGAAGGATTGGATTTTTAGCAAGACAAATAGCACTTTGATTGTCACTAAACAACGGAGAACCATCTTGTTCTCTTCCTAATTCTTTTAGAAGGTTCTTCAACCATATCATCTCCTTCGCCGCTTACGAGATAGCTACATACTCGCTTCGGTGGTTGAGAGAGAGACCCTTCCTTGAAGTTTAGACTTCCAAGCTGATAGCTGTACCACCCAATGTAAAAATATAACCTGTTGTGCTCTTTCTACCGTCAAGATCACCTCCCAAGTCCGCATCGGAAAACCCCTGTAAAATGAGATTACTTCTCTTGAAAGACAAATGCATCTTTGAAGTGCCTTTCAAATATCCGAATATCCACTTCACTCCCTCCCAATGCTCCTTTCCGGGATTTGATAGAAATCTGCTCACAACTCCCACTTGCATGTGCTATGTCACGGTCCGGTGCAAACCATAGCATACATCAAGCTTCCTACTGCAGATGCATATGGCACTTTAGACATGTGACTTTCTTCTTCTTCGTTTGAGAAGATTGCCTCTTTGAAAACTTTAAGTGAGTTCCCAAAGGTGTATTCCTGGTTTTAGCATTCCCAACATTGAATCTGCTAAGCAATTTTTCTATATATTTTTCTTGAGATAAGTTCAAAATACCTTTATCTCTATCTCGGGAGATTCTCATACCAAGAATTTGCTTGGCTGGACCAAGATCCTTCATTTCAAAGCTCTCCGACAATTGTTTCTTCAACTTGTCAATTTCTGCCATATTAGCTCCAACAATCAACATGTCGTCAACATATAAGGCAAGAATGATATAGCTATCAACATATTTCTTCACATAACAACGGTGATCTTCTTCACATTTGCGAAATCCCGAGTTTCTCATAAACTCATTAAACTTCTTGTACCATTGTCTCGGCGCTTGTTTTAATCCGTACAAACTTTTATGAAGCTTGCATACAAGATTTTCTCCGCCTTGTACTTCAAAACCTTTTGGTCGTGTCATAAAAATTTCCTCTTCAAGATCCCCATGTAAGAATGCGGTTTTGACATCTAATCGCTCCAAATGAAGATTTTCTCGAGCTACTATACTCAAGATAACTCGATGGTAGTCATCTTGACAACAGGAGAGAAAATTTACGTGAAGTCAATTCCTTGTCTTTGTTGGAACCCTTTCACTACGAGTCTAGCCTTATATCTTTTGCTTGCCACCTGGTTCTTCTTTCAACCTATAGACCCACCTGTTTTGCAAAACTTTCTTTCCTTCGGTAGCTTGATTAAAGACCATGTTTTATTCTTCGAAGGGACTTTATCTCATCTTCCATTGCTAGCTCCCACTTAATAGATTCATCTCCCTGCATAGCCTCAGCAAAATGCTCTGGCTCACCAGCATCAGTCAACAACAAATAATGCAATGAAGGGGAATACCTTTGTGGTGCTACAATTGTTCTGCTAGATCTTCTAACCAAGATTTCAGGAGTTGCTGACTCTACTATTTGTTCAGGTTCTGTCTCAGGCTCTGACTAAAGGCTATAGCTTTTGGCCTAGTGGTAAGCGCTCGATCCTAACAATTGGTATCAGAGCCAAGGTCACGAGTTCGATTCCTGTTGAGCCAAGGTCAGGTGGGCCGAGTCACAATTGAATCGTGGCGCTTGGGCTGTTAAAGTAAAAAAAGTTGCGCTCTGACTAATGGCTATAGCTTTTGGCCTAGTGGTAAGCGCTCGATCCTAACAATCTTGCTATTGGCTTTGTAGATAAGACGACTTGGCTTTGCGTCAGGATGCTTTGGAATAAGCTAAGCTCTTCCCGTGAGAGTGGCCTATCTACTGCGCCGATCTTTTTTTATTTTTCTCAGCCTGACAGGGAACTAGTGCTTTGCGATTGCATGACCTTTCCTCACCAGCCAAAAAAGAAAAACAATCCAACGCCTAGAGTTGAATTTTAGGCAGCCTAATTCTTTCTTCTTACCCATATACAGAAAGAGAGGAGTAACGTCGGGACAGGTCACTACTACATGTTTGACTCCTGCCAAAGAGTTCTTTTGTCCAACTACTACTCTAACTCTATAGAAAAGACAATTAGGCTTCTTCCTTAAGCTTAGGGAGGGCAGGTTCTATTAAGAATAAGAAAAAGATTCCACCCAGAAAACGAATGCCAACGGTTTCTAAAGCTCAAGAAGTTGCTTCTTGGCTGGGAAGCTAAGCAAGAACACGCCAGTGGGTTTATGTTTGCTCTTTTAGCGAAATAAGAGCAGTTGGGTTGATATAAGATTATAATATAGGTAAGAAAGAATCAAATGTATTCAAACTATATTCCACGAGCGCGATTTCGCCTGAAGTCTACTGCTTCTTTATTGTAAAGAAGATAGTAAATATGTCCTTAATGCGATGGGGAATTCTTAAATAAATATGAATCGCTACTGGATTCCTTTATCACATATAAAAAGAGGTGGGGTTGCACCGAGATGTACCTTAGTTGACTTGTTTGAGTCCAATAAACCATCATAACAATGGCAGTGCTGCCATCCCCGTGTTCGCCAGCGCAATCCATGCAATCGAATCGCATCACAATAATCGTTTCCACAGCGATCGACGGAAGTCGCCACCTTCCTCACCTTCGTCATTGGTGGTGGACAGTGACAGTGAGTGAAAACAGATCAAAACATTTTAGAAGAGAACAACGTAATAAAAACGGAGCTGAATAAGAGAAATATCGTAATCAAAACATTCAAACTGAAATGGAGCAATGGGAGATGGAGCAGTGTATCTTGTTGCAGTGACTGCTCACGCTTTCAAAAATTCTTAAATTATAAAGGTCTCGTTACAAGTAATTTTTATATTTTATAATTTTGTCTTATTTATATTTTGGTGAAAGGTGTAAAGGATTGTAATATTAAAAACATGTGTTATATTATTATTTAAAGAGAAAATATACTAATGGTAAGTCATCAATGGTAAGTTACTTACTCTTTTTTTATTTTGTTTACAAAATTTGTTTCTTTTTCTGATGACATTTTACTAAGAAATGAGTTAAAAATATATATGTCTTGAAAGGAACAACAATACCAAACATATGAATATGAAGTCCATGTTTTTCAACTTCATCGTTATGTTAAATAAATCGATGGTTATATATGTTGAACCTATCAATTATACTTTGAGCAATATTTAAGTTCATTTTGAATATAGTTTAATGATATATTTATAGTTTATTCTTAATTATTCACTGTTTCTGATATATTGCTTTGGGTTTTTTTATTCTTAATTCTAAAAGTTGATATAATTATTTACATAATAGCTTTAATTTATAAATACTTATTTTTATTAATTTCTTTATAACAAGTGTATAGTTTTTAACAAATTACTATTGAAAAGTTATATTTTGTGGTATTTGTAGTACCACGTCACTAAAAATAATACAATAAGATTTTGTTCTAATAATAAAAAAAATTACAATTTTTAAAAATATATATTGAAATAATGATTAAGAAATCCACGTTTAAATATAACACACTTAATCGTTCATTAAGTTTCAATTGAACATATATAAAACTAATTATGTCTTACTGTAATCACATAACATAATTTCAGCATGGTATCCATGTCTCAAATCATATTCATACAAATCAAGGATAAAGATTTATAAATATCACACATATTCAAGCAAAAGAGATATACTTTAAAGCTTATTTTTATTTTTGCTAATTAGAAATCTTTATTCCTATTCAAATTTTAAAATACATATAACTTTCAATTAAAAATTGAAAAGTTAAATTTAATTTTCATTAAAATTACCTTAATTAAAATTTCTAAATTTATTTGTTTAATTGAAAACTCTAAAATTAAAAATAAAGGTGTTATACGTACTGTCGAGGGTAAAAAATTGATTGTCATTATATAAAAATATATTATATATATATATATATATATATATATATATATAATAGGTTTTTATTTATATTTTAAAACAATAATGGGCGAGCTAATAATGATAATTATTTTGTTTTATTTATTTATGTTCCTTTTTAATAATTCAAAATTTATCAAAAACAGTAGGGTCAAAGAATAGAATAAGATAGTGTCCTCTATTTAATATTATTCATTATTATAATATTTTTTATTATTAACGTTATTTTAAATTTTATATTTTTTTTCAATTTATTAAATTAGAGATCATCATATTAATAGTATTGTGACTTTTGTTAACCTGAGAAATATTTAATAACCATTTTTTATTTAATTATAATAATAGTAATAATAATTATTATTACTATTATATTTTTTCAATGACAATTTTGTTATTTATATAAAAGTTATCATTAGTGTTTAATTAAGTGATTGGTGTGGAATATTGTATTAGAATTGTATCATATAAAAAAATCACTTTTTTTAATTTTTTTTATTCTTTTTGTTTTTCTTATTCGCACTTATTCTCTCATAATTATCCAATGAAAATTTAAGTAAAACGTGTGTTAGCATGTTTTACAGGTCAACCATTTTGGTGACAAGTTTATTACACGTTAATAACATCAATAGATTTTATAGAAGATCTTCTTGTTTAATGCATCAATAATCATCTAATAACTTGTGTTTAATTCCTTTGTGACTGTTATTAGTCTTTTGATTTAAAAATTCAACCTAGAGTAAAAAAAATTACAATAATCAATTAATATGTTTTTCTCCTATTTCTTCTACCATATTTATGAACTGGATTTAATCTTTAATTTTCACTAGCTAATTTGTCTCCTTTTATTAAATTATGTTCTCCGTGATTCTTATTAAACTTTATAATGTCATGTTTGTTATCTTGACATATTGATAGGCATATTATATATATTATTTTTAAATTAAATAATCCATTTACGTACAAATTCAATGCCTAAGACAATTGAACATAGTCAATTGTAGCATAGTTTAGAGGGTGTACGTTTATCGGATATAATATGATAAAATAAAAAAATATAAAATATAAGATAAAAACAAAATAAATTATATTTATATTTAGTATTTGAAATACATAAAATAAAAACAAAATAATAGAGTATAATATATATATATATATATATATATATATATATATATAATGTTTATATTTTAAATTTTCATTAAAGTTACATACAATTTTTAAAAGTTGATTTCTAATTTAGAATTTTATATGAAAATTATAAAAGAAAATATAATTTTAACCAAATTATAGAATAAATATTATATTTTTTATGTTAAATTTTTATAATATTTTAAATTGTAATTAGTATATAATTAAATAATTATTATTAATTTTAATATTATGATAAATAACATAATTTATATTTTTTTGTCACTATATTTATAGATATGAATACATATAGTATAACTAAATACAAATACATGATATATATTATCAAATAACTTATTCATACCGACAAAATTATATAAAATTTTATTTTATTTATACAATTACTTTTTATTACCTTTATAGATAAATTATGTATAGGTTTTCAAAACTATTACTATGATTCAAATATTTTTTTAAAATATTATAAAAGATAACAAAATAACTTTTATATTTTAATTATCATTGTAATTTAAGTTGTATAAATATTATATACCTATAAACTTAACTAACTTTTCATTGAAAGGCAATAATGGCAAGATAAAATAAGTAATAAAAGAATAATATATTGACATGACATATCTTTTTCACTAAATAAACTCATTTAATTTTTATGTCTTATAAAATAATTTTATAATAACTTAATAAAAAAATTAAACGATAAATTTTAGTAAACTATTTTAAACATTTCATATGTTTTTTCTAATTGAAATTAACTTCTACTTAAAGTTAATTTTTATTGATGAGAAGATAAAAATGTAGTTTTAATAAAAAAAATTATAAAAATGCTTAAAAATTGACTATAATCAAATTTAATAAGATAATAAATCTATTGGAACCAATATTGAATATTGACTTATATTTATGAATATGGTAAAAGATTTAAAAGTTTTATGACTCTACATTATAAAAAAAAATATCCAAGGAATATTTAAAGAAGAATTTACAAACAGTATTTTTAAGAGTTAACAATCCATAATAATGATGATTATTTCAAATGTTTTGGAGTTAATTAATATTTAACTTTACTACTCATAACACTAATGACATGAAGTTGAAGTGAAATAGACAATGTTCATTTAATAATAATTTATTATAATTTTTAACATGTTTAAACAAATTCATTTAAATAATTTAAAATAAAAAAATATAATGTAATTTTGTTTTTATTTTTAATAAAAAGATAAAGGTAATAAAAAATAATTTTAATTACAAAATTATTTTTTTAATCGAATACATCATTTCTATTTACATAAAATAGTTATTTTCAAAAATTATTTTTTAGTCGTTATTATTTCAATGCAATATACTATTAATTACACAATACACTTTTGTAATGACATATTTGACACTATTTAAGATGACAAAATCTCTCACGTAAAATACTTGCATGTCTCAAATTTTTCTTACCAAAATTCCTTTCACGAAAACACTCTTTCCTCAAATTTTCTTCAATAAAATACGTTTATAATAACAAGTTAAGATAAAAATGTCACTTTATAGTACATTTCTAGGTAACAATTATTTGTTTTGTAAAGAAAGTGTGTTAAAAACCGTGAGAAGATAAAACATGAAAAAAAAAGATTTTTTTATGAGACATCGATAGAATATAATTTTTTAAGAATAATAAAATAATTCAAAAAACCAAAAATAAATTTTTTAAAAATTATTTAAAACAAAAATTAAATTTCTATAATTTTAAATAATTAAGTTAATATATAAATAAAATGAGTAGTTTAATTAAAATAAGAAAAATTATTATTAAGAATGACATAAATGCACTTAATTGTAAATATATTAAAAATGAAAAAAATTATTTATAAAATATAAAAATTATAGAAAAGTAATATACAAAAACTTGGTTATATATAATATAATAATTGACCTGACCAATTCAGTTTAATTTTTTAATATTATTTTAAATTTTGAATTATCCGTATTACTCGTGTTAATTTAAAATTGTATTTATTAACCATTCTAATAGAATTTATCCAACATCTAAGTATTTTTAACTTCAAAACCTTCCTTATTAAGTATGTTTGGAATTTAAATTTCAACTCTATTATACCCATATATTCAACTTCCTATTATTGATTTTTCTATAAGAAAGTATAATAATATTTTTGTAAGATTACTTTTATTAAAATATGTTTGACCCCTCGTTAGATCATGAAAATGTCAATAACTTTATTTTTCTTGATGTTTTTAATTCTCGTTAGATCATGAAAATGTCAATAACTTTATTTTTCTTAGACATTTTTATTCTGAATTCTTTCAAAATAAGGTATATAAATGCAATTTCTAAAACTATATATATATATTCATAAACAAAACTATTTATAAAAAAACTTTTTTTACAATCTACTAATCCTTATAACCAAAATTTATAACACTATAAATTTTAATATTAACTCAAATAATAAGTATTTATTCATATTTTAAAATATCTTCTTGTATTGATAGTTATTAATATAAGCTTTCCTCTTCCATTTTGTAAGTATCTTCATAAAATATCTATTGATCTGTGTTTCGTCATATAATATTATAATAAAACTTTATATTTTTTCTAAATTTTTCTTAGAAAATACAACTTGATATTAAGGTACCTTTTCGTTAAAAAAATATTAGAAATTCGATTATTGTTTAATTATCTTAAACATTTTAATGGTTGTTGTCTCGAACTATTTGTAAATTAATTAGAATTTTTGTTAGGAATAAGACTTGATTAATATCTACTAGAACATTTATGAACTTTACTTTTGTAGTCAGTTGTGCCATAATATCTTATTTTTAAAGCTCATGCAAATACTCTAGTGCCAAATATAAAATAATAACTAGAAGTTTTTCATATCATCACATAAACCTGCCCAATCACTTAAAAAAAAAATCACAATTTAAATTATTAATTATATTTAAAGAAACTACATAATCAAGTGTACCTTTGATATATCTTAACACTTGTCTATACTCTTGAAAATGCACTCTACTTTCATAATGTACGAATCTTGAAAGAATACTCGCAACTTACAAAATATCGGGTATTCTTGTTGTATGATATATTAAGTGTTGAGAATATTATTTTATTATCTTTTATTTAAATTAGGTGTTAAAATATTTTTATTATCTTTTAAGAGAGAAGATAAAAAAATATTAGGTTATTATTTTGATTTAGGCAGTTATGATTAATATATTACTATGATTTCATACTTTGTCATGTTTTTACTCTATACATAGATAAAGTACATGAATAAAATATATACCCATATGAGTTATATTTTCACATATCATAAATACACATACACAAAACCCTAAAATTCCTATCATTAAGCCACTATATTTATTTCTAAAATCGGTCTCATTAACTTTTTTTACACCTTTTTTTTTTGTAAAGTTTTACCATTTGAAACATTGGAGTACTTATAGATTTAAAGTTCTCTATTATTTCTTTTGCATATTTATTTTGGCTAATAAAAAAATTCATTTCATCTCTTGCATATTTATAAACCAGTTATTTTCTATCTTTAACTTCTCATCCATCCTTAACTTCTTCTCCTTCGATAATTTCTTCTTCACCCTTAACTTCGACTCATTCCTTAACTTTTTCTCTTTCTTTAACATTTTCTCCTTCCCTAACTTCTTCTTCATCTTACTTAACTTCTTCTCTTATCTTAACTTATTCTCCTTACTTAACTTCTTTTTCATCCTTAACTTCTTCTCCAACCTTAACTTTTTCTTCATCCTCAACTTCTTCTTATTTCTTAACTTTTTTTTTCATCCTTAACTTCTTCTTCATCCTTATCTTCTTCTCCATCTTTAACTTCTTATCCTTCCTTAAAATTTTCTCCGTGCTTAACTCCATCTCCTTCCTTAAAGTCTTTTTCATCCTTAACGTCGTCTCCATCTTTATCTTCTTCTCCATCCTTAAATTTTTCTCCTTCCTTCACTTCATCTCCTACTTAACTTCTTCTCTTTCCTTAACCTCTTTTTCATCCTCAACTTGTTCTCCATCCTTAAGTTTTTCTTCTTCCTCGACTTATGCTTCATCCTCAACTTCTTCTCCTACCTTAACTTTTCCTCCATCCTTAGTTTTTTCTCCTTCCTTAAATTTTTCTCCTTCCTTAACTTCTTCTTCATTGGGTACTAGAAGCACACATACGAGAGAAATAAAGATAGAAAATCAAACACAAATTAACGTGATTTGACACTTCTTGCCTACATTCACTAACACACTCAATAACTTTTCATTTCTCAACTTGCAATTTTTACAAGGACAAAATTACAATTCATACAATTTTTGCATGGAAAAATTGTAAACCCTCTCTTGACACAGAACTACCCAAGTCCCCAATACACCCAAAGACTAGTATTTTTGTGGTGAGTAGACCCAAACTATCACCCCTTATTTATAGTAGAGGCTACCGCTCCCCTTCTTCAAACTACCCGATGTGGGACTTTGGAGGATACCCACACACTTTGGGCACAACATTCTCCTATCATAACTTTTTTTCCTTCCTTAACTTCTTCTTTATTCTTAACCTTTTCTCCTTTCTTAACATTTTATTCATCTTTAACTTCTTCTTCATCATTATCTACTTCTCCATCATTAACTTATTCTTCATCCTTAATCTCTTCTCCATCCTTAACTTTTTCTCCGTCCTTAACTTATTCTCTTTCTTTCATTAGCTTCTTCTCCTTTCTTAACATTTTCTTTAGCCTTATAGTCTTTTCCATCCTTAACTTCTTCTCCTTTCTTAACGTCTTCTTTAACCTTATCTTCTTCTCCATCCTTTACTTTTTCCCCATTCTTAACTTCTTGTTTATCCTTAACTTCTTTTCTTTTCTTAACTTCTTCTTCATCCTTAACTTCTTCTTTATCTTTAACTTCTTATCCATACTTAACATCGTCTTCATCCTTAACTTCTTCCCCATATTTATCATCTTCTTGTTCCTTAACTTTCCTTCCATCCTTAACTTATTATTTTAAAGAAATATAGGAAAAAGGTGATGTTATATTATAATATTGTAAGAGAAACACAAACTAGTAGATATTTTTACCAAGGTACTTGTGAGATAGAGAAATTTTTGTGAATAACTATTAATATAAGGAGGTATTTTGAAAATATAATTGGACTTTTTAGTTAAGCATATCAAAATTTCTATTATTATAAATTTTAATTATAAGTGTTAGTGGTTTGTAAAAAAAGTTTTTTTACGTGCAATTTTGTCATTGTAGGAAGATGAGTATATATAGTTTTAGAAATTGCATGTCAAATAGTTTCATTACATAACTTGTTGAAATAATTCAAAATGAAAAGTTCAAGGAAAAATAAAATTGTTAATATTGTCATTATTTAGTAAGGAGTAACAGATTATGATAACCATATAAAAACAATATTGTATTTTTTTTTATTGCACAAGTCAATAATAAGAAGTTGAATATTAAGTATAGACATACTTACTAAGGTTTTGAAATTAAAAATATATAGATGTTTGATAAATTCTATTAGAATGGTTATTGTAAATATAACTTTGAATTAACATGAGTAATAGGAATAATTTAAATTTTGATAATATATTAAAAAATTTAAATGAATTGGTCAATAGAAATCAATTTTACTATAAATTATAGATTAAACAAGTCTTTCTATTTTATTTTTCTATAATTTTTATGTTTTATAAATAAGTTTTTCATTTTTAATCTATATACAATTAAGTACATTTATGTGTCATTCTTAATAGTAATTTGTCTTATTTTAATTAGAGGTATACATTTTATTAATATATCAACTTAAAATTTTCAAAATATATATAAATTTAATTTTTATTTTAGAATATTTTTTGAAAAATTTATTTATGTTCTTATTGAATTATTATATTAATCTATAAAAAAAATTATATCCAGGAAAATTCTCTTCCATCCTTATTATTATATTATTTCTTTATCACGTGTCACTCATTCTCACCGTTCTCCCGACACTCTTTCTTATAAAATAAATAATAGTCTCGTTATCATCGAAACTAAGTGCAATTTTTATCTTAAATTTTAACTAAAAAAATGTTTTTATCATGTGTTGTTAGAATATATTCTCTAACTTTGTATTAATTTTATAAAAGGTATTTTAATAAAGAAAATTTGAGAAGTATAAATATAAAGAAAAAAGATAGCTAAAATAAGAATAAATATTTAACAAGAAAAAAGATAAAAATGTTAAAATTATAAAAAAAAAATTAGACCTTAAGCAAAAGAAGGTTGAACAAGAGTTCAAGAACAAACCCTACAAATGTGCAATTTTGATACAAGATAAAGAATCAAACTATGTATTTGTGATGTTTATGACAATCACAAAAAGTGAATCCTCCAATGATATTTGATAGAACCTAGATTCTAGTTATTTCATTGATATGACTAAAAAGTTTCTTAGTTTAGATAACTCATCAAAGTGCAAAATATGATTTACATATGATAGTAATTTCTCTATTAAAAGCAAAGATGGAAGAGAAATTATAATCCAGAAAATTTGATACGTGTGACATGAAGACAAATTTATTAAATTAAGTAAATTACTAAGAAAATAATGATTTATAATAGACATTGAAAGATAATTGTATCATGTAACATTCTAAAAGTCTCTATCAAAAACAAAAACACAAACATGTAAACACAAAAACAAACACAAACACAAAAACAAAAACAAACAAAAAAACAAATACAATAGGATGATAGTGGAAGTGTAATACATTAATAAATTATTGGTAGAATAGGATCATACCTATAATAGGATGTACACTTGCATCTACATAAGAAATATGAAAAGGATGTGTGACAGACTTACCTTCAGCACACACATGTTTGCATCATGAGTGCTGCTAGAAAGAGAACACAATGAAAAACAAATACAAACACAAAGACAATTACCAACACAAACACAAACAACACACGAATACAAATACACACAAACAAGCAAACACAAACATAAACAAAAACATAAACATAAAACCAAACCAAAACACAAACACAAAATGAAAAAACACGAAAACACAAATAGAAAGACAAATACAAACACAAATAAAAACACAACACACGGAAACATAAAGACAAACACACAAACAAACACAAAAAAAAAAACAAAAAGACAAACAAAAATACACACACAAACACAAATAAACAAACAAAAACACAAACTCGTGCACAAACAAAAACAAAAAAAAACATATACACATACACAAACACAAATAAAAACATGAAGACAAACACACACAAACAAGCAAAGAAAAACACAAACATGAAGACAAAGACAAACACAAAAAAAACACACAAACAGAAACGAAACACAAACATAAATACAAACACAAAAACAAAAACTAACACAAACACAAACACAAAGAAAAAGACAAACACAAATACACAAAAAACACGCAAAAAGAAACAAAAACAAAAAAAAAAACATGCAAACAGAAACATAAACACAAATACAAATAAGAAACTTAAACACAAATATAAACACCAATACAAACAAAAACAAAAAACAAACAGAAACACAAAAACAAACATAAACATAAACACAAATACAATAGGATGATAGTGGAACTGTAAACACATTAATAAGTATTGGTGAAATTGGATCATACCTGCAATAGGATGTACACTTGCACCTGCATAAGAAATATGAAAAGGAAGTGTGGCATACTTACCTTCAGCACATATAACACACACATGTTTGCATCATGAGTGTTGCTAGAAAGAGAACTCAAGTAGAAACATAATCAAAACATCTAAAGAAATGGAGAAGAAATAGATGTGAAACAGAAACACAAATTAAAATACAAACACAAACACGCACAAAGACAAACACACAAACAAGCAAACACTAACACAAACACAAACACTAACACAAACACAAACACCAACACAATAAAAAACACAAGCACAAACACACAAACACAAATACAAACACACAAAAAAAAACACAAAAACAAACAAAAACACAAAAACAAAAACAAACATAAGCACAAAGACAAACATAATAGGATGATAGTGGAAGTGTAACACCTTAATAAATTATTGGTAGAATAGAATTATACCTATAATAGGATTTACACTTGCACCTGCATAAGAAATATGAAAGGATGTGTGGCAGACTTACCTTCAGTACACACATGTTTGCATCATGAGTGCTGCTAGAAAGAGAACACAATGAAAAACACAAACACAAACAAAAACATAAACAAAAAATCAAACTAAAACACAAACACAAACATAAAAAAACACGCAAACACAAACAGAAAGACAAATACAAACACAAACAAAAATACAACACACGGAAACATAAACACAAACACGCACATAAACACAAAAAAACAAAAAGGCATAAAAAAAACACATACACATCAACATACACAAATACACACACAAACAAAAAAACAAACACAAACACGAAGCCAAAGACAAACCAAACAAACAAAAACACAACACACGCAAACACACAAAAAAAACACAAAAACAAAAACAAACAAAAACACAAAAACAAACATAAACACAAAGACAAACATAATAGGATGATAGTAGAAGTGTAACACCTTAATAAATTATTGGTAGAATAGAATTATACCTATAATAGGATTTACACTTGCACCTGCATAAGAAATATGAAAGGATGTGTGGCAGACTTACCTTCAGCACACACATGTTTGAATCATGAGTGCTGCTAGAAAGAGAACACAATGAAAAACATAAACAAAAACATAAACACAAAATCAAACTAAAACACAAACACAAACATAAAAAAACACGCAAACACAAACAGAAAGACAAATACAAACACAAACAAAAACACAACACACGGAAACATAAACACAAACACGCACATAAACACAAAAAAAACAAAAAGGCATAAAAAAACACATACACATCAACATACACAAATACACACACAAACACAAAAACAAACAAACAAAAACATGAAGCCAAAGACAAACCAAACAAACAAAAACACAACACACGCGAACACAAACACGTGTGCACAAACACAAACACAAACTTGTGTACAAACACAAACACAAACACAAAAAAATATACACATACACAAACACAAATAAAAACACGAAGACAAACACACACAAACAAGTAAAGAAAAACATAAACACACAAAAAAACACATAAACAGAAACACAAACACAAACACAAACATAAATACAAACACAAAAACAACTAACACAAACACAAACAAAAAGACAAACACAAAAACACGCAAAAAGAAACATAAACACAAAAAAACACAAACATAAATATAAAAAAGAAACTTAAACACAAATATAAACACCAATACAAACAAAAACAAAAAACAAACAGAAACACAACAACAAACATAAACATAAACATAAATACAATAGGATGATAGTTGAACTGTAAACACATTAGTAAGTATTGGTGAAATTGGATCATACCTGTAATAGGATGTACACTTGCACCTGCATAAGAAATATGAAAAGGAAGCGTGGCAGACTTTCTTTCAGCACATATAACACACACATGTTTGCATCAAGAGTGCTGCTAGAAAGAGAACTCAAGTAGAAACATAATCAAAACATCTAAAGAAATGGAGAAGAAATATATGTGAAACAGAAACACAAATTAAAATTCAAACACAAACACGCACAAAGACAAACACACAAACAAACAAACACTAACACAAACACAAACACCAACACAATCAAAAACACAAACACAAACACAAATACAAACACAAAAACAAACACAAACACAAACAAAAAGACAAATACAATAGGATGATAGGGGAAGTGTAACACATTAATAAATTATTGGTAGAATAGGATGATACTTGTAATAGGATGTACACTTGCACCTGCATAAGAAAAATGAAAAGGATGTGTGGCAAACTTACCTTCAGCAGACACATGTTTGCATCATGAGTGCTGCTAGAAAGAGAACACAATGAAAAACACAAACACAAACACAAACACAATTACAAACCCAAACACAAACAACACACGAATACAAACACACACAAACAAGCAAACACAAACACAAACACAAAAAAAAAAATACAAAACAAAAACAAAAACACAAAACCAAACCAAAACACAAACACAAACATGAAAAAACACGCAAACACAAATAGAAAGACAAATACATACACAAACAAAAACACAACACACGGAGACATAAAGACAAACACGTACACAGCCACAAAAAAACAAAAAGACAAAAAAACACATACACATCAACATACACAAATACACACACAAACACAAAAATAATCAAACAAAAACACGAAGCGAAAGACAAAACAAGCAAAAAAAACACAACACATGCAAACACAAACACAAACACAAACTCGTGCACAAACACAAACACAAAAAACATATACACATACACAAACACAAATAAAAACACGAAGATAAACACACACAAACAAGCAAAGAAAAACAAAAACATAAATACAAACACAAAAACACATAAAAAACTAACACAAACATAAACAAAAAGACAAACGCAAATACACAAAAACACGCAAAAAGAAACAAAAACACAAAAAAAATTGGAAACAGAAAGACAAACACAAATACAAATAAGAAACTTAAACACAAATATAAACACATAAACAAACAAAAACAAAAAGAAACACAAAAACAAACATAAACACAAACACAAACACAAATACAATTGGTAGATAGTGGAACTGTAAACACATTAATAAGTATTGGTGAAATTGGATCATACCTGCAATAGAATGTACACTTGCATCTGAATTAGAAATATGAAAAGGATGTGTGACAGACTTACCTTAGCACGTATAGCACACACATGTTTGCATCATGAGTGTTGCTAGAAAGAGAACTCAAGGAGAAACATAATCAAAACATCTAATGAAATGGAGAAGAAATAGATGTGAAACAGAAACACAAATGAAAATACAAACACCAAGACAAACACGCA